GATTCGACGTCCATGATTTTTGGCAGGCAGATTACCGCTGTTAAGGCCGAAGTCAAGTACAAGTTTTGGCTTCGTGGGGGGTCCTTGCGTCACGTAGGTGCACCTTTTGTGTTTGTGGCTTGTTAGCAAGATAACTCAAGTATTTGTTAAATGTTGATTATAATTCTTGGTGTGGTGCTTACTATTGTCGGGACCAAGGTTAAGTTCGTTACTGAGCTTCGTGGGGGGTTTCGTTGTGACTACAGGGGGCATTTTGATGATTTTTCTTGTGAGCAGGATAACTTTTGTATGTGTTGATGGAAGTTAATGAAATTTGATAGGCATGTTACTGTGGTGGTCTCCAAGATTGAGTTCAAAGATGAAAGTCGTGGAGGTCGTTATGTCCCCGTAATAGGACCTTTTGTGTTTAGAAACCCCCCACCTACATCTGCTTGGAGACAGCCGACAGCTGGATATAGCCGGGGAACCCCATGATGTCAAATGACGTTACATTGAGGGATTGTACTATAAGTTCAGCAGGGGAGGATAGGTTGGACATATGTCAGGTTATTTTCTACGGCCACACCAAGTAATTGCTATGGATGACGTCCACTGGAGACCTTAAATTTAATGGTAAAGCGCAATAAAAATATGAAGGGCTGAAAAGGAGATGGAATTTGGAATATACTAACTGTAGAAATACAAATGTTATGACACAAGTCACACAAGTTGAATAAAAGAACGCAGTGTAACAAGAAACAAGTCTTCTATTCGTTATTAAGATAAATTAACAAAACAGCAGTAGTCGCCCTGTTCTGATTCTTCCCTTTATCACATCTTCTCTTATTATATTTTGCGACACTGTCGTGACACTTTCATCATAATACAGTAAGAAGAATTTCTTGTAAGTTTTTTTCCAGTAACAGTCCAAAATCAAATAACGTAGGGTGGGGGTCTAACACGGGTGACGGCGCGTCTGTAAAATCTGTGGCGAACCCTTTCAGGGTGTTCTGTAGCATAAAAAAGAGTACAGAGATCCTTTTGTACTTTAGACCAAATTGATTATTAAAACTAGAGTTCCACGATCTCATACCTTCGCCAAATGATGTTAGCTTTTATGATTAAGAAATTATATATTAGTCCCCCTAATTATGCAAATAGGATCCTCAATTGCATGAATTATATCTGTTGATCATATTCTCCACCAAAAGACAGTCTTATCTTAACAAAGAATGCCATGATGACATTTTCTCGTAAATTATGGAAATGAGGTCCTTATTTGAATAAGTTATGTTTAATTATGTTCACCTTAACTTAACTTTCAAACACCCCAAGTATAAAATTCCAGGCAGTTACCACTAAGCAATTATGATATTTTCTCATTAATTATGCAAATTAAGTCTTCATTTGCATAATCGATATCTGCCTGTGTTTCTCTCATTCTTAATAACATATGTCACAAGCTTGAACTTCCTATTATGGAATACAGCTGATAAATAGAATTTCCTCATTAATTATGCAAATTACATCCATATTTGCATAATTGTAATATCATTATGTCAAGTATCACTCAAGCTACCTACGTACCAAAAATCACGATGATCCATCAATCGGTTCTTGAGTTATCCCCCTTTAAACATTTGTCCATTAAACCCCCCTGCAGTTCTAGAGCAAGCAACTAGGGGGCTCAAACTCATGTCACTTTATCCCCAGCACAAGAGCTATCTACCATCTAAATTTCGTCACCCTAGCATGTCTGGATCATGAGATATCAAAACCGGAAGTTCTGCTGCAGTACCATGACAAGCCGCCAGGTGGCCCAAAATTTAATCATTTTGAGGTCTCATCAAGACCTACCCACCTACCAAGTATCAAGACAATCCATCAAGACCTTCTCAAGTTATCG